GCCGGCGGTAGCTGTCCAATGAAGTGCGAAGGCTTCTCCCACCGTCGAGAGGGATACCCGACTCTTACGTCCATCTGGCGGGGTTTTTTTGACCGGTACACGGCCCTCACCGTGGTTATTTGCTGGAGTGGTCTCTGCAGGGCGGGTGTGAATAGAAGGAAGGAAGCTAGGTGCCCAAGCGACTGGCCTTGTGATAGTGAGCTTCATCTAGCCTCTACCCGTTGAGCTTCCAGACATGATTGTATCTACGGCTGTGAAAAGCCATCCTGTGTAGCTCGCAGGACCATGGATGTACGCAAGCCATCACACCACGTCAAGGTGCAGCCTCGTCGTGATGGATTGGAGTAGATAGTGTTCTGTGCACTCAACGGAGGTATATATGCGCTAAGAGAGAAAGCAAATCAAGTACCGAAAGCAAATGTATTTAGTCATTATCACTGTGATTTACGACTTCATTGGTTACGCATGAGGCCAATAATCCAAAATGAACCACTAAAGTAGAAAAAGGAACGGCTAGTGAGCGGCAACAGAACTTTCTCTGATTTACCTATTACTCGCCAGATAGTCACCAATCTTTCCCTGATTGACCCAAAGCAATCGATGAACGGAATGTATCAGATCGTCCGAAATAAATGTGGTCACTCCACCCCCGGTTGTGGTGCAACCAGAGGCCGGACTGATGGCATCTGTAGCAGTGAGCACGCTCGACCCATCATTGACCACACTTAATGCTGAGGTCGAAGTACCATGCGCCCCGCGAATCCACGGATGAGTGAGTAAAACCGGGGCCGGAGAAACGATCAGTGGATCCTTTATTCCGGGAAAGTTTGTCTGACCTAAGGATTGGATGACTGCACCAGAGGGGACATTATTGTTGTTCATATCCGGGAAGGGCAAGGGCTCATATTCATTGGTTTCGTTGACAAGCTCCTAGAACAAGAAAGAGAGATAAGGTGCAAAAATGGTTCATGGAATCAGCTATGACTAATGTCACGGTTTGGGCATTGTTGTATAGGCTTCGAGTTAATTCGTAGAAAAGAGTCACAGGTACATGCAAAACAATAGTTGAGTACCGTCACAACAGTTCTTACAGGATCATCATAATGTAATAGGACGAAAAGCAGATACAATCAATGTTAACTCAGCGATGCATAATAACGATTAGTACAAAAGCAACAATTATGAAATGACAAAAATCAAAAATGACTTACTTGAAAGAATAAACGACAGGAATCAAAATGTTTCTTCAAGAACGAATCAAACACACGCATATGGGGCTCTTTGGTGAACAGTAACTGGTTTGCAATGTTTTGCATCATTTTCCCCACCAATGTTAGGCCCCGTTTGACTCGAGCGGGGGGTTCAAAATCCAACAAGCCACTTTCATAGGGTGAAACTACAGCCGGATTGACGAATCGTAGAAACACAATTGTGGAAAGAACCGTGTTCGCTTGTTCCGCTCTGTTTCCGTAGCACAACTGACCAATTAGTTTGTGCAAACAGGTGCACATACAACGCAGACGAGACGGAAAGCTGAGTTTGGAGGAAGAATGAGAAGGTGAATACACTGAAATCCTGTGGAAACAGGCGTAAAGGCATTGTGCACAAGCGGAAAGCTAACAGATGCTTTCAGACAGAAGAAAAAGGACGAGGTTCAGATTGGTGAAAATTAGGGACAAGACGTTCAGGTTGATGCAAAACTGATCAGTCTGCTAGGAGGTTTTGAGGATGGGTTTCAGAGTAGAAAAATGTAGCGATGTGTTCTTGAATTTGCTTTTGTTTCAAGCCAGGGGAAGTTGAGCTAATCTCAAAACAGATAAAATTCGATAGTCTGAAAATCTCTGTGCCAATTGCGGCCTGGTTTTCTAGCAAAGAGAATAGCTACTGATAACATACTGATCAGTCTGGTTGGCACCATCCAGGAAAAAGTGTTCCGAATTACAACAAAACTATAATGTCAAGTGACACACATCATTAAATCGAACTGGTGGTCGTGCTTTAACCCGACCAACGCTCATCAAGTTTTTTAATCGCGCATCAGTTTCAGTTTGCACAACCATTATTCCGGCATTTTCGTCCACCGGTTTTGGTTGCTGTCTTTCAGTGCCATATTTGGATAAAAAAGCAGAATAAAGATTGGAATGTTGAAAGCAGATTCAAGAGAAATATGGAGAATTCCTATTCTGTGACAGGGGAGTATGCGTGGATACACAAACGCCACTGTTTGCGACACCCAGGCATATCACTCAGTGTCTTTAACCATCGGGTATGATCATCCCGAGGTCCCCAGCCAGGAAGTCTAATGGGGCCCATGTGACCTAGTCTCCTGGTTAGGGTTTTCAAACCCTCATTCCAAGTCTTAGTTTGACCATACTTGACTTTCT